AAGTGGATCTCACACGCAAGCAAAGCTCCATCCCGCGCTCAATCTTCTCTGCTCCTTCCTTCTCCTTCCCTACTGCTCAATTTTCATCAGTTTTCTCACTTGTCTCTCCCCTCTCCGTCTCGTACTTCTTCCCCCAGTCAGGTGCTTCTGCACCGCCTTCAGGGTCTCTTTGTAACTGCTGCTGGTGACGCAGACTGCCCATACAGTCACCTCCAGTCAGGAGTGGTGAGGCTGGCGTTATCTGAGCTGCAACAGGAGTGAACGAACTTATAAAGTAATCACACCGATGTCTTCTCTTCCCAACCTTCCTCCCTCCTTTCTTCCCCCCCTCTCTGTCTCTTCTACTCTCTTCTTTCCCCTCACTCACTTCTACTTTCTATCTCTTCTCCCCTCCCTCTCTTCTCCTCTCCCACGCTTCTTCCCTTTTTCACTTTTCCCCTCCTCCACCTTTTCCTTCCTTACTTCTCCCCTCATTTCTCCCTCTCCCGCATTTATTCCCTCCCAGACTTCTTCCCTTCCTCACTTCCCTTCCCCCCCCCTCTCCTCTCTCTCTCTCTCTCTCTCTCTCTCTCTCTCTCTCTCTCTCTCTCTCTCTCTCTCTCCTCCTCTCTCTCTCTCTCTCTCTCTCTCTCTCTCCTCTCTCTACTCGCTGCAACAGAAGAGAACAAACCATCTTTCACTCTCTGTCTCTTCACATTTCTCATTTGTTATTTATCTTGTGGCTCTACAGATTACTCGACCACCATCGTCGAGTAACATCCAGTGGTCGTCTCACCATGCTCCTATATTAAATAAATATCTGATATCAAGTTCGCCTATGTTTAGAATGAAGGAGCTTCAGCATCTTAACTTTTGTGTGTGTGTGAGAGAGATATAGAAAGAGAGAGAGAGAGAGAGATTATCTCTCTGACAATTCCTTCCTTTTTTTAATTACAATAGCGAAGATATCCTGATGGTGTCCAGTCATAAGTGTTGAGGCTATCATATATATAACGTCCTGATTTTGGCACTGGGCATTTAATTACGCTCTCCTCTAGTTAGAGTCCTTATCCTTGCCACTAAAACTTCGTATGTGTAATATGCCACCTAAAACCGTCTTTCTCCATGTAATATTAATACTTCCAGTCCTGCTGGAAGAAAACCTTTAAATCTGACGCAGTTTCAGAACCTTTAGTGAAATGATTAACGATATTCTCATCACCGTCTTGACGTTTTCCTACATAGGCCCAGAGATTTCGATAATTTTATTCAAGAACCTATCCTGTGCCATGGAGTATGGCAGAAAAACCACCCATTGTTATGGTGTATGACAAGAAAATCATCCAGTATCATGGTGTATGACTGGAAAAATCATCCAGTGCCATGGCGTATGACAAGAAAATCATCCAGTGCCATGGTGTATGACAAGAAAATCATCCAGTGCCATGGTGTATGACAAGAAAATCATCCAGGGGCCATGGTGTATGACAAGAAAAATCATCCAGTGCCATGGTGTATGACAAGAAAATCATCCAGTGCCATGGTTTATGACAAGAAAATCATCCAGTGCCATGGTGTATGACAAGAAAATCATCCAGTGCCATGGTGTATGACAAGAAAATCATCCAGTGCCATGGTGTATGACAAGAAAATCATCCAGTGCCATGGTTGTATGACAAGAAAATCATCCAGTGCCATGGGGGTAGACAAAAAAATCATCCAGTGCCATGGTGTATGACAAGAAAATCATCCAGTGCCATGGTGTATGACAAGAAAATCATCCAGTGCCATGGTGTATGACAAGAAAATCATCCAGTGCCATTGTGTATGACAAGAAAATCATCCAGTGCCATGGTGTATGACAAGAAAATCATCCAGTGCCATGGTGTATGACAAGAAAATCATCCAGTGTCATGGTGTATGACAAGAAATCATCCATGCCATGGTGTATGACAAGAAAATCATCCAGTGCCATGGTGAAAATGACAAGAAAAAAACCAGTGTCATGGTGTATGACAAGAAAATCATCCAGTGCCATGGTGTATGACAAGAAAATCATCCAGTGCCATGGTGTATGACAAGAAAATCATCCAGTGCCATGGTGTATGACAAGAAAATCATCCAGTGCCAGGTGTATGACAAGAAAATCATCCAGTGCCATGGTGTATGACAAGAAAATCATCCAGTGCCATGGTGTATGACAAGAAAATCATCCAGTGCCATGGTGTATGACAAGAAAATCATCCAGTGCCATGGTGTATGACAAGAAAATCATCCAGTGCCATGGTGTATGACAAGAAAATCATCCAGTGACATGGTGTATGACAAGAAAATCATCCAGTGTCATGGTGTATGACAAGAAAATCATCCAGTGCCATGGTGTATGACAAGAAAATCATCCAGTGCCATGGTGTATGACAAGAAAATCATCCAGTGCCATGGTGTATGACAAGAAAATCATCCAGTGCCATGGTGTATGACAAGAAAATAAATCCAGTGCCATGGTGTATGACAAGAAATATCCGTGCCATGGTGTATGAAAAGGGAAAATCATCCAGTGCCATGGTGTATGACAAGAAAATCATCCAGTGCCATGGTGTATGACAAGAAAATCATCCAGTGCCATGGTGTATGACAAGAAAATCATCCAGTGCCATGGTGTATGACAAGAAAATCATCCAGTGCCATGGTGTATGACAAGAAAATCATCCAGTGTCATGGTTTATGTGACTCAATGTTGCATTTAATTACTGTAAGAGAATGTAACTCTCATTTAAGATTATATCGCAAATATCTTCATTAATAGCTAAAACGAAGATGTTTAGCTTTGTATTATTAAATGGTCGACCAAAATGCTTCCGAGATCAGAGTAGCAATTTCTAACTAATTTTAGGTCACTGATAATTAATATCATATTTAAAACTGTTTGTTAGCTCTACTTTTCAATATACACCTACGTGTCACAACAGGTTCCAGCAGGGTTCCAGCAGTGTGTTTCTTACCACACTCACAGTCTCACTGACCTTCATTATTGTTCCAGCAGTCATAGAATGTGGTTGTGCACAACCACATTCTATGACTGCTGGAACAATAATGGTTGGTGATTTTCTTAGGGTTTTGCTCTTGTGATGGGCTTGCAGGGCAGATACACCAAATACTACTGCTGCTTTCTATGTGAATGGGACAGCCGTGCAAGAGGTTCCCACTACATCAGGAGAGACTGACCACCTCGTCAATCATTGGAGCCTGGGATGAAAAATATTCAACATTCACCTCTCATTGAACCAAACAAAATTTTTCTACCACTACTACACATAAAACTGAAGCTTATGAAAAACTTTGTAAAAGTTATGGACAAATCCGGTCAGGAACTCAAGTATTTAAAATCATGTAAAGTAAAAGGACACAAGTGCAACTAATGTGACATTTATTGTGGCAACGTTTCGCTCTCCAGGAGCTTTATCAAGCCATTACAAACAATACATGGACACAGAGGGTATATAAAGGCTCAGAGTGAGGTGTAATACTAGTGAGGTAACATTTTGATGTTCACTAGTGGTAGTAGTAGTAGTAGTAGTAACAAAAATAATACAATATGGAAGAGCAATTAATTCGTACATGAGTAAAAGGATATAAAAGCTATTACTTGGGTAACATAAAATAGGTTGGACAAATATAAACTGGAATGAGGCAGGTTTTTTTTTTAGTGTTCACTCTCTGTAATGTGCTTTGTGTAGTATAACAGGAGAGACAAAGTTGAGGCAGGGTTTACTGTTTTCAGGAGGATTCTTGCTAAGACTTCGGAGATGGTGAAGCTGCCGTTGTTTTGTTTAATTGTATTCGAAACAGCGATCAGTGCTGATTCGAGGCACTTGCGTCTGCGGAAATTAGTTTCTTTGATCACTAATTGGGCGTCTCTGAATTTCATGAGATGATTGGTGGAATTTCGGTGTTGTACACAGGCGTTGTTTAAGTTGTCGTTCCTACATGCATAAATGTGTTCACTGAGGCGGGTGTCGAGGAGAGCGAAACGTTGCCACAATAAATGTCACATTAGTTGCACTTGTGTCCTTTTACTTTACATATTGTCGGTAATTCTACCAACTTTATTACAATCTGTCGGACACCGCAACATAATGGATATTTAAAATCAAAATTCCCATCACTGAGCGACGCTAAGATAAGAGAGGGAGTCTTCAATGGTCCTCAGATTAGAGAGTTTTTTAAAGATGGTGACTTTGAATCAGACCTTCATGGGTAGGAGGAAGCTGCTTGGGAAGCATTCAAGTTAGTGACGAAGGGATTTCTGGGAAACAGAAGGGAAGGCAACTGTGATGAATTGGTGGGAAACCTCATCAAGACTTACAAGAACATGAGATGTAACATGTCACTTAAAATCCACTTTTTGGACTCACATTTAGACTTTTTTTCCCAGCGAACTGTGGAACAGTTAGTGACGAACATGGTGAAAGGTTTCACCAAGATATTTCAACCATGGAAAAATGGTTCCAGGGCAAATGGCGCACAAGAATGTTTACAGACTATTGCTGGACATTGACAAGAGATGATTCTTCAGCCCACTATAAGTGTCAAGCAAAAAGGCAGAGAGTAGGTACGGATTAGAGTTTAAAACATACTGACACATATTGTATGCTATAATAAAATAATCAAATATTGCATGTCTCGTACCTTTAAACCTATAACCAATAAGCATTTTTCAAAGTGATATTTGGATTCAGGACATGAAAATACATAAGAATTAACTAATCTATCTCATTTAAGAAGCATATAACTTTTCAAAAATTGTTGACTAGTGATATCTATCTCTTTAGTCATCATTATCTTTATTATTATTGTTATTGTTATTATTATTATTATTATTATTATTATTATTATTATTATTATTATTATTATTATTATTATCATTATTAGCTATGTAAATAGGCAGGGTGGGAAACCATCATGCCAACTACTGTTACCTGGTTAAGGGTCGAGTTTACTGCTGACTGAGTCACGGGATCTGACCCGATGTTAGGTTAGTGGACTTGGAATCACGTAGTTTTGTTGATCCCTGAAAGCTGTACATTTCTGTCTCTCCTCTGGTAGAGTTTCAAGTTTCTTTAAGAAACGGTGTCATTGGTGACTCCTGGTTTACTCTGTGCATTGGTGGAAAACAGAGTTATTAATAGACTTGGTCATTTGCGCTGTCTCTTAAGGTATGTATGTATTTCAGACATTCTAAGTGTGTATTTCATTAACTATAGAACACAGATCTTAATTTTGAGTACAACTCCGCTAAGACATAGATTGTAATAATCTACGTTGAGCTAAGATTCGGTATTCTATAGAAAGTTCCACAGTTATGGTCTCTTTCATGTCATTAATCCTGACACAGAAGTGATAGTGTTATGCAAACTCTTAATTAAGTTTGGGATTTACGATCACTGACTGTATCGTAAGATCCGTCTTCATATGGATGTGTTACTTCCATTGAAATTAATATCTATTCATAACTTCTATGTAAATTCATGACTTTAAGAGTTATCTTAAAGTAAGAAGTTTACGAAGATAATCGTAAATCTTGTACCTAGAGTAATAAGGTAGGTACCTAGAGTAATAAGGTAGGTACCTAGAGTAATAAGGTAGGTACCTAGAGTAATAAGGTAGGTACCTAGAGTAATAAGGTAGGTACCTAGAGTAATAAGGTAGGTACCTAGAGTAATAAGGTAGGTACCTAGAGTAATAAGGTAGGTACCTAGAGTAATAAGGTAGGTACCTAGAGTAATAAGGTAGGTACCTTGAGTAATAAGGTATACAAATTAATAAAATAAGAAAGTATTGTGTTAAATATTTTAACATTAAAGATCATTAATTTTATATTTGTTGGATTATGTTTCTTAGTTGAAGTTACTATACTGATTATCTAAAGAATAACTACTTCATACATTGTTCCAATACTTTGTTACAAGAAAGGGACGATCTTAAATACGGGTTAATTACTTCGGGGAGATTCCATCCAAAACTCATTGGGGTAATCTACCAGGCTTACAAAAACCCTTACTCGTAACAGTGTATGACTGGAAAAAGCATCCAGTGCCATGGAATGTGAAAAATAGTCCACATACAGTTATTGAGGAATACTCCGCAAGGCAAACAGAACTCTTGTCTCTAATCTCCTCTCACACACTACAGATCCTTTAGTTTCTCCCACCGCATGTTCATATGTTGTTGGAGCATTGTACCTCTTATTGTAACCGGGGAGTGTGGGTTAAAGGGCGGAAACCACTCGTCCCGCGCACACCAGGTATCATCTATAACTCTTTCATAAATGTCATATAACATGTGTGTGACAAACCTAACCTGAAATTTGCTTCGCAGAATCGAAATTTAATTATTAAGTACAATTCTAACCAATTACTCACATTTTCAAACATCCCAGAGCGAGTTATTGAAAAATCCATGCAACACCAATAGCGCAAAACATAGAGCCCAGAGTAACGTAGTAATTTCTAAGAGTCTTAGTAGAAAGACAGAAACTCAAGGCAATCATATTAGTTCAAATGAGGAAAATCTCTGGTGGCCGCTAAAATGTTAAAGAAATACTTTTGTGAAAAAGGCAGTGAGTAAGAGATTGTGAAACAGCTTTCCTCCTGTAAGACTGCGCTGGCAGAACTTACTTCTCATTCTCTCACCAGCCTCACGTTTATTTTCTTGTTTTTCTCTGCAGAGACAAACATCAATCACAGACTGTTTTGAAAATGAACCAGTTGTGATTATATATAAAGAAATATATAGCACTATATATATATAATATACTACATTGGAAGACATGTTGCAAAGTGTATGGCTGGTAAGGAGGTAAGGTTACTGAAGAGCAGTGAGAAGTAGAGATTTTAGCGTGACATCACGATAGATGCTCAAGTTAGAGTATGATTACTGGAAAAAAGGAGGGAAATTTTTTCCCAGTAAAAGTAGGCTTAGACAAGAATTGTGTGATGTCACCGTGGTTGTTTAATCTGATTTTTAGAATGGGGTTGTAAGAGAAGTAAATGCGTAGGGTCTTTGCAGTAGGCGTGGAGTTTTAAAAAGATAAGAATCACACACAAAGTGGGAGTTGTCCACAGCTGCTGTTTCTGCTGACACACTGTGCCTTCGGAGATTTTGAAGAAACCGCAGTAGATTGGTGGATGAATTTGGTAGTGGTGTGCAAAAGAAAAAATTCAAAGGGAAATATCAGGTAAGAGAAGACTAATGGTTCTGAGGAATACAAAAAGATTAGGTGCGATGAAAGATTAGGAAATATTCGAGATTAGGAGGGAGAGAGTATGGTGAGCAGGAAGGGGGGAGGTGAATGTATTCTCAGATATTTGGGAGTGGACGTGTTCAGCGGATGGTATATCTAAAGATGAGTGAATCACAATGAATTGATTGAGGGTCAAAAAGAGTGATGGTGCACTTATAGGAGCCTGTGGACAGACAAAGAACTATCTCTTTGCGTCCCCTTTGGTACGGCAAAAGACAGGGCGGAATGTATGAGAGCATGAGTTCACTTAACCAACGCCTATATAAAAAATACAGGATTGCGTGACAGCCGACAGGGATGCATGAATGTGTTTACAGCGCAGGAGAAGGCTGGAGACAGAGGAAGCATTGTCATTCTCAGAGCGGCACGTGTTCACTGTGGTGTGCAATAGTAATCAGAGTAAGATTCGTAGTTTGGAGAAGTTAGGAAGGGAGGTGCGGTGACTACCAAGAAGCTAGAGTAGTCGCTCTATAAGGGCGAAGAAGGGTTGTGCGAGGTGGTTGCGGTCAAGCATTTAGTAGAGAATGGAGCGAAACAGAGGAAAGACTTCAAGAATGTATCATCTGATCAAGTGGAGACAGGAAGGCGGGGTGAGGGTCGGCCCTAGGAAGGGTTGTGTAGGGAGGGGGTTAAAAGGAGGTCGTTTGTGTTGCGAGGTGGGCTTCGGATTCGGGCACACAAGTCAGCAAGTCCATGCGTGAGCGTTTTTGATAGGAGCGTTCTGGTGACAAAGGTTTTTTAATACACTATGTGATCGTGGAGGCTGATCTCGATAGCGAGAGAGCGTGCGCGCGAGTAACACATTATATATGAAGGGATTCAGGGAAACCGACCAGGCCGGACTTGAGATGTCCTGGAGATGGGAAGCTACAGTGACCTGCACTCTCTGGAAAGGAGGGTGTATTAATGTGCAAGTTTTAAAAACTGTAGTGTAAAGAAGCACCCTTCTGGCAAAGATTCAGTGTGGACGAATGATGGTGAAAGATTTTTCTTTTTCGGCACACCCTGCCTTGTGGGAATACGGCCAGTGTGAACTATATCAAAATCAATATCTATGATATATATATATAAAAAATATATTACATCACATTTATATAATAGATAGGGATATATTTATAATGATATAGTAGACTATATATATATATATATATGTGATGTGCCGAATAGGTAAACACTTGTCGATACTGGCCACTTAAATAGGCAACGGCGTCTTTTTGTCTGCCGAATAAGTTAAGCGAAATTTGATATGCAATAATTTGTCGCAAACAATATTATTTTTTCAACCCCTTATACGAGAAGCAAGTTTCGTTAGGTCTGCTTAATTATTAATTCATTGCAAAACATTTATAAAAATACGAGATAGTTGATTAGGTTAAAATTTGCGCTTGTTATAATAATGTAGGTAAGTTTTCTAAGGTGCTTTGCCTACACATAAAATTATTAAGTTTTTTATATTTAACGTAAATCTGTAATAATTCTTTAAAACTGTATAAAAATTTAGAAAGGACATAATTTTTAAATGAGTTCCTCTGCGCTATACTGCGACCAGTTTTAGACATTACTCTCGATTCACGCACTGCGCGCTAATAGTAGATCAATTATACATTATTTGTCACTCACCCACTCTCTCTATGCTACTAACACTCACAACATAACACACACCACACTCACTCACTAACACTGACACACTCTACCTCTCTTCCATCCCACACCCTCAACCTTCCATCAATACCGAACATCCACTTTCCCCTTCCACACCGTTTATCTCAATGGTCTTCAGAGCGACAGAACTACACAGAAATCTCCTACCGGAACAATTTAAAGTTCAATTCCATAGGCTTGCTTCAGAGTTTCTAGAGCGGCCAACTACCAGGTAACAATTCAGTCCCTTGTGTGGCCAACGACTTCTCCACACTGACCATGATCTGCAAATTCGGACATAAGAAACAAACCCATGTTTGAGCACCATATAAACCTCGAAGCTCTAGAAACACAGAAAGACCCGTAAAGAGTGTGTGTTTTTGTAGTGATTAGTGTTCGGTCCTGTTTGTGTCTTTTCTATTTTTACAAACTACAAGCGAGAACAACAATACTGCGACTTCACGCCGGGATTCAAACCTCCGATATTTTAAGCACCGCTCGTCCCGAAGAAGTCCATCCTAACAAAATCCAGAGACATCTTAGAACCCCAGAGCCTTAATGGCTTCCTAACATCAGGTTGCCCATTACCACTGGAAACATGACACCCGCCTGATGCCTCGCACATCACGTCGCCCACCTCTCGATTAAAAACTATATGAACCTAATTTATAGCCTTCACATCTCAGCAATACAAACACAAATAAAATACATCCACGAACGAGAGCGTTTTGACAAAATAAAATATCATAGTTCTATCCTTGGCTAGTACGTGTGTGCAGTATAATTATATAATAATCTCATATATATATATATATAGTATATATAAAATATATATATATATATAATAGTTATATTTAATCTATAATATATATATTAACCTATATCTTTTGATATATCGGTAGTAATGTGTTGTGGGTATATATATAAGTGTGAGTCAATCAATGTAGGTGTGAATACAGGGCGTGTGTGTGTTGCTATATATAATGTGTGTGTACATATATCATTGTGTGAATAATTGTGTTGTGTATTAATGGTATGTATGTTGTGTGTATATAATGGTGTGTGATATGTGTGTGTATAGATGAATGTCTATGTTGTAGGTATATAAGTTATGTGTTTGTGTTGTATATACATATGTGTGTGTGTGTGTGAAATTAGAGTGTGTGTGTGTATATTAACTGGTCTGTGTGTATATATAATGTGTTATCTACATGTGTGTATATAATTGTTGTGGTATAAAATGTGTGTGTAAATAATTGGTGTGTATATATA